GACTTGGGAGCGCCTATCCCGTGATATTTCTTAAAGAATTGCCCCCCTCAGCTCTGGGTCACGACAGGTAGATACCCCACTTTTATGCAACACTCCTGACACTCTCCTTGGCAGTCAGGGATAAACATATCTGTTTTTTCTGAAATAACAAAGCTGTGGGCATCGATTAGCATTCCCTTCGCTCTTTCGGTGACTTTGAGGTATAAATGGGTATGGACTTGTTATTGGGGGCCTTGGAGGGGTCAGGGCGGATGTCCTGGACCAGGATGGGGGTGGAGGACTGGAGGGTGGCAGGGCTGGGGAGGCAGGGAGACCCTGCTCCTGCTTTGCAGTCAGCCTGGCAGGTTTCTCTCCTTGGCCACCAGGGAAGGCTCTTAAGTTTGTAAGGCCCAGCCTTACCCATCCTGCCTCTGTTCTAATACCCCATTGCTTTTAAAACAACCCCAAAGTCTGTACTGTTTTATTTCCCTAAAAGGCTCTTATCTATCTATTTACTCACTTTCTGATTTCTGCACTAGACTCTAAGCTCAGAAAATTTGCTTATGCTGTTTGATATATCCCCAGTCCCTAAAACCATACCTGGCACAAGACTGGGCTATATCAGTTTCTTATGGCTACTGTAACAAATGACTTAAAGTGGCTTAAAACCACACAAATATATTACGTTGTAGTTCTGTAGGTCAAAAGTCCTAAATGGGTCTCATTGAACCCAAATCAATGTGTGAGTGGAGCTGGTTCCTTCTGAGGCTGTGGGACACAATACAGTTTCTTGCTGCTTCCTCTTCCTGAAGTCTGAACTTAAAAAAGATTGGAATTCATCCTTTCTTTTTCTCTTCCTAAACAGAGGTAAGAGGCTTGGATAGTTTAGGATTAGTTGAGGAAGATGTAGAGCTAGAAGGTTTCAGTTTATTTCCATCTATGGCTTAAATCCCAGTTCAATAATTGATTACATAGAGTCAATTCTTTATTGCTTCTGAGCCTCAGAAAAGCAAATGAGACTCAGAAAAGGGAATGAGACTGGCTTTTGTTTATTGAGCCCTACCTATGTGACCTGAATTCAAAATCCCCATTCTGGCCAGTCACCAGTGGCTCACACCTGTAATCCTAGCTACTCAGAGGCAGAGATCAGGAGGACTGGGGTTCGAAACCAACCTGGGCAAATAGTTCACAAGACCCTATCTCGAAAAACCCCATCACAAAGAAAAGACTGGTGGAGTGGCTTGAGGTGTAGGCTGTGAGTTCAAATCCCAGTAATCAAAAAAAAAAAAATCCCAGTTCTGGCTTTTACTTGCCTTGGACAAATAGCGTAACTTCTTGGTTGGTAGATAAGAGCACAATGCTAGTGGCTGACACCCTACCTGGGGAGTACACTGTCATATGAGAAAACAGGTATAATACCTGTGTTCAGTGAGGCAATGTCTGGGGCATGGCTCATGGTAACGCTCAACAACAAGCAGGCCTGTGGTTATTTTTCTCGTTCCTAACTTTCTTCTTATTTCTCCTCCTTTTCTTTCTCCTCCATCTTCCTTCATGCCTCATCACCTAGTTTTAACTGCTGTTTTTACCCAACGCGTTTGCCCCATGACTGACTGGGTCAGATCCTATTTTCACCAGAAAGCTCTCTGTAGTATTTATGATTACTGGTTTACTACCAAGGTGGTTTCTAAGGCCAGCGCTCCTGGTTCACCTCCCTTGTAATGCTGAGGGATTTCTGAGATGGAATTGACAGCCAGACCCATGCAAAAGGATCAAAGCAGCCTCCTTCCTTCCAACTCTTCCTCTTCCCCTGCACTGAAATGAAAATCTCAGAGAAGCAATGTCTATTGTTCTGCCCTGGAGACAGGAGTCAGCAGAGATGTCTCTGCGTGACTTGTTATCAGAAAACTCGAGTAGAAAGGAACCTTCATCCTTAGACATCTTAATAGATGCTTTGATCGTTACACAGAAGTTTCTGGATTGGTTTAATTGCTGTAAGCATTATTTTCCTTCTCTGTTATGATAAGGCTTCCATTCTCATGGATTTTTTTCCCCTCTTCCCTTTCAACGGTTTCCCTTTGCTCTCACACTTGCATCGGCAAGTTTAATGAAATCCAAACAAAGGAAGCAAAGAGAGGGACTCCAAGTTCAAGTCTGCACAGCCACATAGGAAGCCGGGCGCAGGTTATCGCTGCTGAAGACATGACGTCATCCTTCACCAGACACTGAGGCATGAAATCAAGCTACGGAACTTAATTGTGCCTGCTTTTTGGAGAAGGCGCTAGAATTAAGAATTCAGAATAACTGAGGCATGGATCTAATAGTGAGGGGATCTGTCTTCAGCTCACTGGAGCTGCGGGAGCTCTAGCTGTGTGCTGGCCTTGTTGCTTTGGTGGACGGTGGTGATGGTGGTTGGAGAAGAGTCAGAAGAAAAAGGAGATCAAGAGTTCTAAACCATGGTGCTGTGACCATTTTCAGCCAGTTAATTCTTTTTTTTTTTCTTTTTTCAGGGGCAGGGGTCTGTCCTGTGTGTTATAGGAAGTTGAGCCAGCATCCCTGGCCTCCCCCCACCAGATGCTAGTGTACTCGTGCAAACGCATACACACACCCCCCAATGTGACACCCCCAAATATTCCCAGACAGGGGATAGGGCCTCCTGGGGGAAATTTGAACAATTACAGAATCACTTCTTGGAACTCTGCTAGTTCCTGGCTGTGCGACCTTTATCAAGTTGCTGCACCATGCTGAGCGCTTTCATCTTCCTTTTTACAATGGGAATAAGGATAACAACAATTGCACAGAGACAGATTCCAGTACGGACACACAGCACGCTGACTAGCATCTATCAAGTACTCAATAAACCAATGATAATAGTCCTGGGTTCAGCAAACACATGTTAAGCGTATCCTCTGCCTCAGGCTCTGTGCATGAGTGGTATTGCAAAGATGAAGGTGTGATTCTTGTTGGTACAGAGGTGGCAAATGATATGCAGACTCAGTTTCACCTTTTTTTCCACTCACGGCAGACATTACTAGTCAATCTCGGTGCTCCTTCCTTTTGAACCTCAAAATCCTTCTCAACACAGCTCTGGCCAGGCAGCAGTTCTTTTCTAGATTCCTCACCAGGAGGCTAACCTTCCTCTCCAGCACAGGAGAGGAGCTCACAGGTGGAACCTCCTTCCCGCCTCTAATTTCAGTCTCCCAAAGGGGGAAGAATGGGGAAAATTATCTTTTCTATTTAAAAATAATTGCTTTTCTTTCTTGTCTTTTTTGCCTCTTTGTTCCCTCAGACACTGAAATAGAGTAAACTAGTCTTGGAGTTTGTTGACATTAAGTTTAGTTAAGGTGCAGGAAATTCCACGGGCTCTGCTTCTGATAGATCACACTGTCTCTTACTTGAGATTTTTCTGCCCTTGGAGGGCTTAGAAAATCATTAGCTCTCTCAGAAAGGGTCCCAGCTTTACAAGGGCAGAACTGGGGTTCAGGAAAGAGCTTTCAGATGGCTGCAGCCAGGACAGGAGAGAGGAGAGAGCAAGCTGGGGTTAAATGCTCCTGATGGATTCTGACATGCCCAGCTCCCCGATGAGAGCCGCTCACCACAACAGCTGTGAGAAATGAGGTGTCTGTCCGTCCACAGCCCTGAAAACAGAAGCCACTCATCCATCAGCTTCTTCCCTCCCATCTGCGGGCAGATACTGCTTCATGTCGCTGTTCTCACACCTCTGGGGCCCGTGAGGTTGCAAGGACACTGGCACTGGCAGCAGACAGTGGGTGAAGGTGGGGGCCAGAGCTCAGGGTCTGTGGAAGACCCAGGACTCAGTCAGGGAGGGGGTGACAGAGCAGTTCATTGGGATTTAGCCTAAGGCATGAAAGAAAAGGCCAGATGGGGACAGACACCTAGTTTGAAGTCTGCATGGTTCATTGTTTCTTTCTCATTCTCATCCATCCAGCCAGCCAGCCATCATCCATCCTTTTCTCCTTCCTTCCATCCAGGCTTTGCTCCTTCCTTCCTTTCCTTTCTTTCTCCCTTCTATCCTTTTCTCCTTCTTCCTTCCATCCACCCTTGGCTTTTTCCTTCCTTTCTTCCTTCCTTCCCTCCTTCCTTCCTTCCTTCTTTCCTTTCTCCCTCCCATCTACCCATCCACCTGTTCATTCACCAACTTATTCTAGTATGACTTTTGATAGCACATAATTGGACATCCTAAAAGTAGTTCTCTATAATCCACAAAAAGTGACATGATTTTTCATCTAGCACTTTCTATATTTTAGAGGGTTTTGTTGTTCTGTTATTTCATTTTGTTTTGGTTTGCTTCTGAGCCACTGTCTCTCTCTACATAGCCAAGGCTGGCCTTGAACTCACCACATAGCCCAGGCTGGCCTAGTATTCTTGATCCTCTTGCTTTAACCTTCCAAGTGCTGGGATTGCAGGTATATGCTACTGCACCTACCTTAGAGTTTGCTTTGAAAATAAATACTTAACTCAAAAAAATGGATTCAATATAAAATGTTAGGTAAATAATTTCATGGGTTGCACAGAGGTGTGGCAGAAGTGAGGAGTGTGGCACTGGCCTGGCAGGGCTTGGAAGTCACCATATGACCACCGCACACGGGAGAGCACAGGCTCTTATGTCCCTCAGTTCAGATTCACACCTGCTGTGCCCTTGTAGATGATGTTGAGTGAGTGACTTCCTCTCTTTAAGCCTTAGTTTCTCCATCTATACCGCTGGGGTTGTTTGGAAGATGGAGCCAGCTAAGTCACGTGATCACATGCCTAGCACGGGCTGAAAATGGAAATGGTACTCAATTTTATTCTTTCTACAGCTGGTTTATTTTACTGTATCTCCTGGCTGCCCTGCCCAAGGGACTTTGCACGAGTTGGGGTAGCAACCGAAACCAGTGTGCACCTGGCGTGTTTAGCAGGTGGAAGCAGCTGGTGTCCTTTTTCTTTCCAGGGCCCAAACAGAGCCCGTCCAGCCTTGGACCTGCTGTGTAACAGGCTTTTCTTCTTCCCTCTTCTCTCTGCAGATACCTTGTCAGTGCCGCGATGGTCCCCGCAGATCCCACGCAGAGACCTGGGCAATTCTATCAAGCACAGGTAAGCTGCTTCCCATATGCACTGCCCACCTTGCAGTGGGTGGGGAAGGCTGGGCTGGGCTGAGCTGCCCTTCTCTGCCCTGCCAGGCTAAACCTCAACACAGCAAATAGAAGAGCATCTTATTAACCCTTCCCTTATCAAAGTTGCCCATAGTGGTTAAAACCAGGCTTTTACAATCAGACTGACCCAGGTTCCAAACCCAGAGAGCTTTGCAACTTTGAAAAAGTGACTTATCTAGCAATAAAGGAAATGCAAATTAAAACCACATTAAGATTCCACCTCACCCCTGTTAGAATAGCCATCATCAGCAACACCACCAACAACAGGTGTTGGTGAGGATGCGGGGAAAAAGGAACCCTCTTACACTGTTGGTGGGAATGTAAACTAGTACAACCACTCTGGAAAAAAATTTGGAGGCTACTTAAAAAGCTAGACATTGATCTACCATATGATCCAGCAATACCACTCTTGGGGATATACTCAAAAGACTGTGACACAGGTTACTCCAGAGGCACCTGCACACCCATGTTTGTTGCGGCACTATTCACAATAGCCAAGTTATGGAAACAGCCAAGATGCCCCACCACTGACGAATGAATTAAGAAAATGTGGTATCTATACACAATGGAATTCTATGCAGCCATGAAGAAGAACGAAATGTTATCATTTGCTGGTAAATGGATGGAATTGGAGAACATCATTCTGAGTGAGGTTAGCCTGGCCCAAAAGACCAAAAATCGTATGTTCTCCCTCATATGTGGACATTAAGTCACATGATAAAAGTGAGAGCACACAAGGGAGGGGTGAGGATAGGTAAGACACCTAAAAAACTAGCTAGCATTTGTTGCCCTTAACGCAGAGAAACTAAAGCAGATACCTTAAAAGCAACTGAGGCCAATAGAAGGGGAACAGGAACTAGAGAAAAGGTTAGATCAAAAAGAATTAACCTAGAACGTAACACACAGGCACAGGAAATCAATGTGAGTCAACTCCCTGTATAGCTATCCTTATCTCAACCAGCAAAAACCCTTGTTCCTTCCTATTATTGCTTATACTCTCTCTTCAACAAAATTAGAGATAAGGGCAAAATAGTTTCTGCTGGGTATTGAGGGGGTGGGGGGGAGAGGGAGGGGGCGGAGTGGGTGGTAAGGGAGGGGGTGGGGGCAGGGGGGAGAAATGACCCAAGCCTTGTATGCACATATGAATAATAAAACAATAAAAAAAGAAAAGAAAAAGTCACTTACCCTCTCTGAGGCCCTGTCTTTTCCATCAGAGAATTCTACCTACTTACAGAGTGGATATGAATATTAAATGAAATAATATATGTAAAGTGCTTAGCACAGAACCTCATACATGATAAACACCCAACAGTTGGTATCATTGTTACAATAAGTGCTTTAAGCCTCTTAATTTGACTGCCACGTTTTGTCTCATTATCCCCACTGTCTCCTCACAAAGTGGGTGGGACAAGTGTGGCTATGCCCACTTGATCGGTGGGAAAACTGAGACCCTGGAAGAAAGCTGGTTACCTTCCGCATTTGTGCTCTTTTGACACCAGGGCTTACTTGTCCATGTCCCGAGGCCTCTGTGACATGCTGTCCTATTTATGTTTTCTGTGTCAGAGTTGCCATGGTGAGCAGGACGATGTTCCCCTGGGAGCTCCCGGCTAGGGGAGGGTCAGCTAACAGACCATGGCAGTCCCCAGGGGATCCGGGTTGGGAGGGGAAACACCACGGCCAACACATGGCCACAGCCAGGGGCCTGGCAGGAATGAGCACCCTCTCAGGATGGCATCTCGTCAACAGTTTTTGGAAGAAGTATGTTGACAGGGTACTTGTTAAAACTCAAATGAGAAAAAGCAGGAGGAAGCAGTGAGAGATGCGTGATGGGCACGTCAGCGGTGGGGCTGTGCGCTGTAGGGAGAAGGGAATTGGGAAGATGAGAGCCTTCTTTTGTGTTGGCCTCCTCACTGCACCCTGGCTCTGTCACCTCTGGATTGGCCACGCCCCCGACTAAGCCACGCCCCTGGATTGGCCACGCCCCGGCTCTGCTGCTCCCTGGATAGGCCCCAGCCAGGTTTTCTCTCCCTAACCTTGGGACCGGGTGGTACCTAAGTTTCCGTGCTGGTGACCAGCTAGGGAAACAGTCTGCTAATCATGGACCCCAGGACTCTTTCTAGAGGAGCTGGAACTCGGGGCATCCAATGTCTCTTTGTGCCTGGGCAGAATGGCAGGGAGTAGAGGCTCACCCCAGCCTTGATGAAGAAATAAAATTAAAACCCCACTCCTTGTCTTCTGTCACCTCAGCTATGGGGACAGGACAGGACTAGAAAGGAAACGTCTGCCTCCCATTCCCCCCCACCCCATGTACACACCTGTCCTCCATTCCCGTGACGTTGACTGAGGGATGAGCCACTCCTGCCCCTCCACCATCCCCAAAGTGGTGACATCCTACAGGACAGACCCTGTTCCATTCACTGGTCCCACTGAGGGGGCCCAGAAGGGCTTCACCGACCCCCTCCCCCCAAGTCCAAAACTGGAGAGAGGGTTTTCTTGGCACCCAGAGTCTCTCCTCTGCATATTGCTGTTTTGCTCAGACATGGAGGCTTTGGGCTGTGGCTCATTCTGTTTGGAGAGGGGGTGGCCCAGAACGGCAAGATGGTGCAGTGGGGGGGGGCTTCCCCTCAAAATTTTCTGTCTCCAAGTTATGTAATCTATTCCGAGTTCCCTTTGGACACTTGCAGCAGTAGAGATTAGATACGATGCCTGGCACAAATTGAAAATTGAAATTAACCATGACCTGCCAACCTTCAATATTTTTCTGGGGCCTGGCTGCCTGCTGCTGCTTCCTATCTCAGTAAAGAGAGTACCCAGCAGCATGGCGGGGGAGGGGGTGTCCCCAGGAGCTAATCTAGTGCACCCCAACTCATACTGGTGATGAAGACCCATGGGAGACCTCCAAATGCTGTATATTTGGGGGTGACTAGTGGTCTGGAAGGTTTTCATTCTGGGGGTTCGCTCACCCCTGAAGTTTGGGGTCAATTGCTCTGTACTGAAACCAAACTTGGCACATAGTGGACCACCAGCCAATCTTTGTCAAATGATTGAATGGCTGTTATCGACGTTCAAGGTGATAATATAGGCATAACCCGATTCGTTGAGTGCTTCCTTTGTGCCAGATCCATTGCGAAGCCCTTATCACACACAAGTTCGTTTGATCCCCCAACAGCTTAAGAGGTCAGCACTGTTATTACCCCCACTTTGCAGATGAAGAGACTGAGGGTCCAGTGGTGTAAGCAACTCGATTAAGTCACCTATCTCAGAAGAATCAGAATTGGAACCCAGGGCCCACGCCCGTCCCCTTTAGTTAGTACATCCTCGGAGAGATGGGTCAGTTGCCATCACCTTGATCTTGAACATTTCTGTCTCTTTTCCACAGATTTTCCACGAAGTACTGGATGTCTCAGACATGCACAGTCTGTGGGAAAGGAATGCTTTTTGGCCTGAAGTGTAAAAACTGCAAGTAAGTGCCCACATACGGCAGCGACTTTTCACAGCACCTGATGTCACCTAGAGCCGTGCAGAGCTGTGACAAGCCCATGGGAGGTGATCTCCTAACTGTGGGTTGTTGCTTACTCCACACTTCAGAACCTCCGTATTGGGACAGTGATTCTGGGTTCAGCCAGAGCCAATGGAAGATGGTGGAAATGTGTAACTCTGTGTGCTGGGGTACTGGGTGGGGGAGGGGCTCACGTTCTCCTAGCATCTAAGATCTGGGCTTGGTAAACTTCTTCTCTCGTTCACGGAGACAGTAAACATTTTCAGCTTTGTAGCCCACCGAGTCTCTATGGCAACTTCTCAAAAACAGCCCTAGACAATAGACGTGACCAATGGATTTATTCCAATAAAACTTCATTTATGACAGCAGGCCACAGCCTGGCAACAGCACTGTGGTTTGCTGATTTCTGAGTCAGAGTTTGCAAAGTCCTTCTCTCCTCTCCTCTTCCTCCTCACAGTTTCTCTCAGAAGGATTGTTATACTTCTGAGACTAGAAAGTTGAGTCTCAGCCAGAAAAAGTCACAGCTAGTAAGCAGCAGTCAGGACTTGAACCCATTCGCTAACTCCTGTTCCATTCACTTTCTGAGGCCTCGTGTTGGTTTTGATTCTGGTGGGAGGGTCAGGCTACCCAGCCCTCCACTTCCTACCCTCTTCCCTATCCCTATTCCCAGTCATGGCTGACAGCAGGGAGGGAGGCAGGAGAAAACTGTAACATCAAATCATAGGTTCAGATCCTGGCTCTGTCACTTCATAGCTGTGTGACCTTGGACAAGACACCTCACATTCCTCTCCTGAATATTTTCACCTGCGGGAGAGGATTCCTAAGTACTCAGATCTGTCTCAGGTGGCAGGGAGCATTCAGTGAGTCAACACACCGAGGACATAGCTCCAAGTTGCATCCCCTGTAATGAGTTACCAACTTTCTTGCCCATACTGCCTCTGTTTCCCCTTCTGTAAATGTGTATTAACTACCCCTCAGGTCCAGTCACTACTGAACCTGCAGTAACATTCCCCCGTGCGTAAAAGTTACCGATGAACGTGCATCTGTTTGCTTTGAAAGGAGTCACTTAGTGCAAAAGATTCTAGGGACCCCTGTTTCCCCTCTAGCCTTGCTGTTACTTGTCTAGCCAGGCAGGGGACTCTCTCTCTGGGCCCTTCAAGGCCTCCCTCATCCCTGTCTATGATGGAAGACAGTGGGATAGCAATGAAGTGAGTTCTCACTTTCCTCACCCCACCCCAGCCTGGCCATCTCCCCCTCCATAAGAAAGATGAGACTGAGCTCCTTCCTTCCTGAAGTTGATGGTGGGGGGCTAATTAATTCCTCCCAGTCCCCTAGAGGGTCTTAACTTCCCAAAAGGGGGGAGGCGGTAATTAGCATGCATTAGTTTTTGTTTTTCTTTAGGTGAGACTGGAGTTTGAACTCAGGGCTTCACCCTTGCAAAGCAGGTGTTCTACCACTTCAGCCACACCTCCAGTGCATTTTGCTCTGGTTATTTTGGAGATAGGGGTCTCGGAACAATTTTGTAGGGACTGGCCTCAAACCACAATCCTCCTGATCTCAGCCTCCCAAGTAGCTAGGATTATAGATGTGAGCCACCAATGCTCACCAATACATTAGCATTCTGAAGTTATCCCACTGTGGTCCTCTGTGGACCCAGCTCTCAGGTCAACCCCTGGTCTTTTGAATCCAAGGAGTTCAAGACCAGGCACTCACTGGGGTCTGACTGGAAGGCTGTCTGATGTCCTCTGTCAGGCTGTCTGGGAGAGCTATATCTAGTTCACCAAGTTCTGTGGGGGAAACGCAGCTTTCACATCTTCACACCTGCTGAGTGGAGGCTTTGAAGTCAAGTAATTAGGGAGCAGAGGCACAGCCAGGAGTCCGCGAGCTGAACACTTCCCAAGCAGCTTCAATTTTCAGCTCGAGAGGTGGAACTCGGAGATGGCCTTCGCTTGGCGCTCTCTGTTCTACAAGTAATAAGGGAAGGCTCAGGCCCTGCCAAAGGTTGAAGAGCACGCTGGGAGAGAGTTGGGGACAGGGGACAGGGCTGGCTGCCAGGAGCACAGGCTTCAGAAGCAGCCCAAGCTGAGTTGTGTTCCCAGCTCTGTTGCTGAACTCTCTATCTGAACTTGACTCTCGAGAGCTCTGTTGTGTTGGACTTGGTGTTCTCATCTGCAAGGTGTGTGTGATATTAGCGCCCACCACAGGGCTGTTGGAAGGAGTCAATGAAATGTCCTCACCCCAGGGTGGTAGTTGACAACATCTGTCCCCAGTCCATCTTGTGCAGAATTCACACCCAAGAGTGGCTTCGCACCCAAGGACCTCACCAAGTCTCTCAGCTCTTAGAAAAACTGGCAAAGCCAAGTTATGGAAACAGCCAAGATGCCCCAGCACTGACGAATGGATTAAGAAAATGTGGTATCTATACACAATGGAATTTTATGCAGCCATGAAGAAGAACGAAATGTTATCATTCGCTGGTAAATGGATGGAATTGGAGAACATCATTCTGAGTGAGGTTAGCCTGGCTCAAAAGACCAAAAATCGTATGTTCTCCCTCATATGTGGACATTAGATCAAGGGCAAACACAACAAGGGGATTGGACTATGAGCACATGATAAAAGCGAGAGCACACAAGGGAGGGGTGAGGATAGGTAAGACACCTAAAAAACTAGCTAGCATTTGTTGCCCTTAATGCAGAGAAACTAAAGCAGATACCTTAAAGCAACTGAGGCCAATAGGAAAAGGGGACAAGGAACTAGAGAAAAGGTTAGATTAAAAAGAATTAACCTAGAAGGTAACACCCACGCACAGGAAATCAATGTGAGTCAATGCCCTGTATAGGTATCCTTATCTCAACCAGCAAAACCCCTTGTTCCTTCCTATTATTGCTTATACTCTCTCTTCAACAAAATTAGAAATAAGGGCAAAATAGTTTCTGCTGGGCATTGAGGGGGGGAGCGGGAGGGGGTGGAGTGGGTGGTAAGGGAGGGGGTGGGGGCAGGGGGGAGAAATAAACCAAGCCTTGTATGCACATATGAATAATAAAAGAAAAATGAAAAAAAAAAAAAAACAATTAGCTGAAAGGCCAAATTAAAAAAAAAAAAGAAAAACTGGCAAAGCAGTGAAGTCGCTGTCTCTGGTGCTGTGGAGTTCTGGTGAGGGTCAGAGTTTAGCCCTGTGCTTGTGTCCAATACAAGCAGAGCTAGCCAGGAGAGAATTGTGAGTGTGCACGACTGAAAACAGGTGAAATTCCTGCTTACTCCGCAGCGTTTGCGCTCATTGAGGTGAGGGTGGCGGTCATTTACAGGTGTTTGAAAGTGGGGCAAAATACGAGGCACTTACAGGATGATGGAAGAGTGGGATGAAGGATAGAAATGGGTCTGGTCAGAGGAGTCCTGACGAGACACACTGGAGAAATGAGCATCAGTGGCAGTGAAGTGTATGTGGGAACCGCAGGTGACGTTTCAGGGAGGTGGTACCCAGAGTGGGGAGGCAGTTTCTTGGAAAAAATTGGCAGGCTCATTTATTCACTTATTCAACTAATACCTGTGAGTTGGATAATAAAAACTAAGGGTTGAGTAGCCCTTACCTGAAATGCTGGGTGTTTTCAGGTTTGGGATTTATTCTGATTTTGGAACATTTGTGTGTGTGTGTATATATATATATATATATATATATAATGAGATATCTTGGGAAAATTAATTTCTGTTTCATATACATGTAGCCTGAGGGTAATTTTATGCAATATTTTTAGTGTGCTTGTGGGTTTTGTTTGTTTGTTTGTTTTTGTTTTGTTTTGGTAATGATGTGTTTTCTTTTGGTTTGGTTTTTCCAGTACTTGGGGTTAAACAGGACCGGGAGCTTGCACCTCACCCCCGTTCTTTTTGCTTTTAGTTTGTTTTTCAGATAGGGTCTTGCACTTTTGCCAAGGCCAGCCTCAGATCATGATCCTCCTACCTCTGCCTGCCTCTGGAGTGGCTGAGATTACAGGTGTGAGCCACCATGCCCAGCACTGTGCATGTTTTGATTGTGACCCCCACATGATTTCCAGCGTGTAATTTTCCACCTGTGGCATCCTGCCAGTGCCCCATACAGGTTTTGGAGTTCAGATTTTCAGATCAGGAATACTCAACTTTAATTCATGAATACTGGGCACAGAGACCCTTCCAGGCACCAGGGAAGCAACAGGGAATAAAAGACAAAATCCCTGCTCTGGCGACATTTCTGTGCTGGGGGGACAGGAGGGGACAGACAGTAAACCAAGTAAATTAGTTTAAAGAGGTCATGTGATGAGAGAATGCTAAGTGGTAGCAAGAAGAACTAAATAGAGAGAGGAGGAAGAAGGCCCAGCATGGGAGCTGCAGTTTTAATGAGAGAGGTCAGGCAAGATCTCCACCTTAGGAAAGCAGGAGTGTATGGTCCAGGTGGTTCCTAATGCAGCCAGAGGCATGGATTCGAATCTTCCCAGAAGGGAATGACATTTTTTTTCCACCCTGAGCAATCCTGGTTCTATGCATACCAGACACCCCTGGTGACAAGAACTGAATTAGACCCTGCTGTCCACCCAGGTCCCGGGGCCAGCATCCCCCAGAGCTGGGGCCAAATGTACATTCCCAGGTCCCATCCCAGATCCACTGAGTCAGCGTTTGCATTTTAACAGCTCTCAGTCACAGTCGCTCCTGTGCACAAACGGGTGAGAAGTGCTGCTCTGTGACCTCCATGTTCCCTTTCTCATCTGCTTCTGTTTTTCCAGGTTATGTGTCTCAAACTTTTGGTTTTCTGAGACAGGATCTTGCTATGTAGCTTCAAACTCAATGCTCCTCCTGCCTTAGCCTCCAGAGTGCTGGGATTATAGGTGTGCACTGCCACACCTGGCAATGGTCTCAAACTTGAGCCTGCCTCACAATGTCCTGGAGGGTTTGTCGAAACAAGATTCCTGGGGGGCACCTCCAGAGCCCTGTAG